GAGGATCGCACTTCAGTACGCAAGTGTTAACATTATTCGGAAACAAATCAGAGTGGAACAAGGAATTGAAGACTTAGCTGCAAGATAATGATTAGGATCAAATCTGCAAGAGCTAACGTGAAAAAAAATTAAACAAATAATTTGGATATATCAACAAAGTTGAAATGGTGAATTGGCCACCGTAACGATCACAAAAGCTGACATTTCGAGCGTTAGCCCTTCGTCGGAGCGAATAGAGGAATTGTGGGTTGTGTGTGCTTTTAAAGGAAGAAAATGGAGCTACGTTATTGGTGGGAACATGGCAACGAGAAAAACATGAATAAATTAGTGGAATGAAAAGCGTTCGTTGATCCCTGTGGGATTTAGACTGCCGGTTTGAAAGATGAGCTTTTGTTCAAGATTTTTACGGCTAAAATACATGTACTTAAGATGGAACATGTGACAGTTGACGCAACACGTTACCAGTNGCACGGAAAGCCGTAAAAATCTTGAACAAAAGCTCATCTTTCAAACCGGCAGTCTAAATCCCACAGGGATCAACGAACGCTTTTCATTCCACTAATTTATTCATGTTTTTCTCGTTGCCATGTTCCCACCAATAACGTAGCTCCATTTTCTTCCTTTAAAAGCACACACAACCCACAATTCCTCTATTCGCTCCGACGAAGGGCTAACGCTCGAAATGTCAGCTTTTGTGATCGTTACGGTGGCCAATTCACCATTTCAACTTTGTTGATATATCCAAATTATTTCGTTACTCCCACCGACGCAGCCCCAAACCGTTTTTTCGAAACTATCAGCCTTTAAAAAATTAAACACATCGACAATTCTCAATTTAGGGAATCAACTACTACTCATTCCCAAGTTATAACTACAATGCAAGGCAAAAATAAGAAGAAATATTTTTATTCAAAGAAATACTAAATATTTTATTTAGAAGCAAAAAAGTCAGAGTTTCTTACGTATGGGTGACTCACCCAGTGGATAGACCATGCTTGAATCGTTGTTTACTAGAATTTCATGGCCAGAAAATTGAAAATTGTGAAAGTTGTCAGATTTCAATCAAAATTGATGTAGCACAATACTTCAAATACATATCAACGCTTAAAAATCATATTTAACGGCCCAAAGAGTTGTCTGAAGGTGGCGAAACGCCACCATCAGTCAGCAAATTCACTTTTCATTTTCCCACCATAACTCGTTTTGCGCGTGGGAATCGTAGTATTTTTCACTCGGAAGCTGTTTTCGGCTTTGTTTTGGCACCTGGAAAACGTTTTCCGCGACACGTGTGATCTTGGAAATCTCAAACCCATGATCTAGCTGGACAGAAACTTCGAAGTCAATCGCGGAGGAAAATTTCGAACCTAGAGCATTTTTTGTTGTTGTTAACGTCAAAGCGCCGGCGTGCACAATAGAAGTATAAAGCAGTACAAAGCACTTTCGTGCAATAGTCCTTTTTACGGTTGCGGGATTGGTGGCCAAGCCTTTGAACAGGAGTGAGGCTAAGGGTGACCCTGTTGTGATAGAGACCTGTATCTAGTTCGCATGATAACAAAGAAATTTGCATTTGAAAAGCAGCAACATCTCTATCATAACAAGGTCACCCTTAGCCTCACTCTTGTTCAAAGGCTTGGCCACCAAGCCCACAACTGTAAAAAGGACTATTGAATTTGAGTACTTGAGGTTACTTGCTGTGTTATAATTAATGACTTTTCACCGAAGTGGTGAAACCCACGTGGATAATTCGACATCTCGTGCATGCAGAACACTCACACTACACTGCACTTGCGTTGCGCACTTCACCATGTAACACATTTTGTGATGGTTTCCTTGTTCGCGCATTGAGTAAGCTACTCGTACTAGCTATACATGGGATGCTACCGAAAGCCGATCCATGTTATAGGGTGAGGAAAGATATTTTTATATACTGTATTGCCCGTAAGGCACTTTGCCGCGATTGCTTAAAGTACCGTCAAAGAAATTCATCTCGAACCCGGAGTCTCCTCTGCTATGTGCAGGTGTTGCACAGGTGTTTTCCGAAACGTCCCACTGAAGAAGAGAGAAAGCTACGGCTTAGACTTGCCTACAAGACAGTGGGCCGCGCATGCTAAAAGTAGCACCTTGTACGGACGGAAAGTCGTACGGAAAGTCGTACGGTTACCTGATAAACCAAATCCTCGGTTTGATGGGTTCCTACCATTTTCTAACGTATGGGGCTTTGATGTGCGCGTCGTGAGCTCCGCTGTTATGATAAATAATCATATAATTTTTCCTCGTGCTATTTTGGAATTAACATCCAATTTTGAAATCACTTGTGATCCTTACATTCTGATTGGCTGGTGCGATTTATTCACAACTTGCACCATTTTACGGTCTAAATCGCATCTTTCCCCAGGCAGCGAGACAGCCTTACTAAACACATCAAACAGTCCAATTTCAAGGCTTGTTTGAAGAAACCATCAAATTTCAGGAAAATAAGAGACAACTGTTACAAACCAGCTCAATATACTACCAGGATCAAAACTTGTCTTCAGCGACAAAACTTTGCGGTTTCAAAAAAGATTTATTATAGTGATCATTTTTCATGCTTCAATTTGCAATTTGGCTAGCCCTTCAAAAATTTACTTGAGCTGATTTATCCCAAATTGCACTCGAAATCATGTGATTACCTGTGCACATTTACAATGTAATGTCGCCATAATTTCGCAGTTCAATTAACGGTGTTTTCCTTCGCCTTTAAGTTACCTGTACTTGCAAAAATAGATATAACATCTTAAAAGAGGAGTATAGTTGAAGAAGAAGGGAAAAGGGTAATCCAGATTGAAAGGATTAAAAAATCAGCGAATGGTGTAAAAGGCACATTCACTTGGTGGCATGTTATTTCTTTAAACTTTGAGTAATGTCTCCGCTTTCGATCTTAATTACTTGTGAAGCGTGATTATAAAAAACAAGTAGGAAGGCTTTGTTACATAAAAAACAAAGCACAGTTTTAAATCGCTTGCCTCTCTACATACAAATGTAATTTTTATAAGTCCAAAACTTGAATTAAAAAAGCTCAAAACTGATTAACATTTTCCCTTCAACAATCACTTTCTCGTAGCTTCGAGATGTCAAAACTGATATAAACACTTAGCGATTCATCCTATCAACGACAGTCGTCCTATGTATGCGTTGATCTTTCTTTGTATTGTGAATGATGGTAACTTCTTAAAATTCTAAACTGCTTTTTCTTCTTAGTGCAAATTCCTTCCTAAAATAGACTTGACCGGTTGGATAAACACGCCGTTGCGACGCAAACCATTCAGAGATTGTAAACATCCTGCCCCCCTTAATTATCAAAGATAATTTGCCAGAAAGCTTCGGACCTTCCTACGGGGAGGAATAATTCTATCAGTAAGGACTTTAAGAAACCACGACGGCGACGCCAAGGAAGACTTCGATCAAAAAATGAATTTTTTACTCTTAGTTAGAATTTCAAAAATGGCTGCATGAGCTTACTGTCTCATACAGCGCCACAGCTCAACTTCAGCATGACGTGTAAAGTAGCCTTTGAGTTCCAAATGGAAATTAAAATAATTTGCCGTCGCGGTTTCGGTTCGCAGACGACGCAAATTTTGACGATTTCACGTTGTTGTTTTGCATAGGACGGCCAAGAAATGTACAAAGTTTCAAAACGCACGTGCTAAACTATTGTTCTGCCAATTAGATCTCTTGTTTTTCCACGTCTTCGTTGCTATCGCCGTCGTGGTTTCTTAAGGTCCCTATTGATGGTGTTATGGAAATATAACCAGCGGGCCTATGGACTAGACCTCAAAGAGTATGTAGACATACTAAGGTGTCGTAGAATCACCTGTTACAATTGATTAAATAGTTATATTTTATGCAAGGCATTTTCATAAACCCCTAAAAAAATTTGCATCTCGTGACAGAATAAGCTTTCGTGTTCAAGTGAGTGTCACCGAGGAGGTCTCTTAAATTAAATGTTATTGAGAAAATGAGGTGTACGTGATATTGGTTGGGCAGGTGCTATTGAGACGAAGTTATCTCTCGTTTACTGCAGTCACAAATAATCTGCAGGAGAAACGAAACAGCTTCTAAGGAGGGAAATATTTTCTAGGATAAATTTTGCTTAAAGTAATTGTCCTGGATGAAATATCAATTAAAAGTTCCTTTTCAGAAAACGGTAAGTAGAAGTATTCCGCTTTTAATGCTCGATCGCTTGCTTAAAATTGATCTGCGCAAGAAGAAAAAAGGAGAAAATACGAGCAAAAAATCCAGATATATTACATGTACATCGTTATCTTCATTTTTTGGGATAGTATATCACTCAAAGGAAGAGGTAAAATTATAATATCAATGTCCTAAAGGTCTATATGTGTCCTTGATGCCAACTAATCTCATTAAACGCGCAAGTAAACAGCATTATTCAAAGCTTCCTGTTTTTTTTTTCTGCGTAACAAGACACTGTCGAGAAAAGCTTTCTCGGTGTAAATATTCAAAAGACAAAAAAGATCATACTTCATAAGCCTTATAATTACAAATTTGGTATCATTTCTGGTTATTCTGGTTTTTTTTTTTGTGAAAGTAAATTTTTCCTGTGTTAGAACTATCTAAAGAATTGTTTGGAATCTAACAAAATAAAAGTAGCCGAGTGGCTAATTATAGATAAATGGGGTCCTCCGATACCTGCAAAATGCAAAGCACAATCACGCAATAAGAAAGAAAGTGACGGGTATTTTCTCAATACATTTACTTTTCAATCGAGGAAACGCTGGAAGTCAGTTAATCTGAGTCTTGCCACAAAGGGGTACAGTGTAAAATTTTAACGCAACAGACAGTTTTTCGCGCATTTGAAATAGGTGAGTGTTGCTTAGGAAGTTCTTTCTTGAATGAACAAGGAAAGTCAGTTGAATTGGTCGTGGCTGAACAGGTGCTGTTTCAAAAAAATTCTCCCTCGTCGTAATCACAGGTTACCCGCAAGAAAAAAAAGACACTGAATGATGGCAGTTACAAATCTAACAGGAAGTGGAACGCAAAGAAAAACAGTTCAAGAAGCACACTGTTCTCACTCTTTGGAAGGAGGGTTACAACAACACTTATACTACCTATCGGCAGTCAACATTTTCCTTTCTATTGGCGCATTTCTTGGGAATTCTCTTATCCTTGTTGCCTTTCGCAGAGAATCTTATCTTCATCCGCCATCCAAACTCCTGTATCGTTGTCTGGCAACAACTGATCTGTTGGTTGGACTTGTTAGCCAGCCTCTCACTACTACATATTGGATGTCCATAGTTTACGAACATTGGAGTCTTTGTCGTTACGCACGGGACGCAGCTTTCATAACAAGCTATGCATTATGCGGGGTGTCATTGTCGACGATGACGGCCATAAGCGTGGACAGACTTCTAGCCCTGTTGTTGGGATTGAGATACAAACAAATTGTTACTTTGAAGCGCACATTTTTCTGTATGGGTACATTTTGGGCGGTAAACCCCGTTGCTGCTTTGTCCTACATCTTAGATCACCGTATCGTCGTTTGGTATAGCTCTTTAGGTGTACCATTTTGCTTGGCTATCTCGGTCGTCTGCTACTCAAAGATTTTCCACAATCTCAATCGTCATCACGCTCAAGTACAAGATCATGTTGAACAACAGCTGAGCCAACCAAACACACTGAACATTGCACGATACAGAAAGGCAGTGTACAGTGCACTATGGGTACAGTTATCATTAGTTGTTTGTTATTTGCCATTTGTTATTGTGGATGTGGTGATCAGCCGTAGCAAAATACATTCATCACATTTAGCCAGCATTAGGGAAATATCAGTTTCCTTAATTTACTTCAACTCGACGTTAAATCCTTTCCTTTACTGCTGGAAGATTAGCGAGGTCAGACAATCAGTAAAGCAGACTATCAGAGAAGCAGTTTGCTGTTTTTGAAGTAATATTGCCCTAGTTATGGATAAATTGATGTTTGCAAGAATGACAATAACAGATCGAAAGAAAGCTTGAATGTTATGAAATTTTCCATATAAATAACCAAATTAAATATCTGGCAAGAAAGTGGAGACAGAAAGAACTCTTCCTGAAACTAGAAGGTTTTTAAGCCTGATAACGTTTATGTTGTAAATTTTTTCCCATAAATTCATGTTTGATCATCACACAGTTTTTACATTCTTGACAAGAATGCGAGGTAACTATGCAGGACCAGAAAAGATGGATCGGACTTTCCTCTCCGGATTTTCTAAAACTAAAATATTCAGCTTTTTTTATTCCTACCTTTGTGAGAAAAAGAGTTTGTAGCCAGTTGTGGGTGTAAAAGTTTAATTTGATAAACGATTAGGTTGTTACTTTTGTGCATTTGAATAGGGATAGGTAGACCGCTTTCTCCCCCAACGATTATTTCGTTGTTTTCAAGTTTGCAATCCGCAATCCATTTTCTCTGACTTTGAGTAGAACACATGTGCCTCATACAAACCAGCTTTTTAAATAGGACGGAAATGGCCTTTACAGATTTTCAGAATCCCTCAAGGGAGTTTTCGGAACTGTCAGCAATCTGGCTTTCCTTCCCATGTTTCTTCCCATGTTTCGTCCCATGTTTCTATGAGCGACTTTAGAGAAGATCGCAGTCAATCTATGGTTAAAAAGGTGTTTGAGTCTTAAATTTGCAACATGCTGAATACTTTGAGAGTGCCATGACTTAAAAAAACGGGTCTATTACCTATTTTAACGAGAAAATTATGCCGCAGAGGCAAAGAGAGGAAGTTGTCAATAGACTTTATATATTCCTCGTAGCTTATTTCTGACCATAAATGTAAAGTACCGTTGTAGTTACTTATAATTTTTTTGTTAAATCGTTTTTTTTGTTAAAGTGCACCTAAACACCCAATTTTTGTTTGCTCAACGAAATAAGCGTATTTCTTTGGAGTATTTCTGTGCAAAAATTTTTTTGTTTCCTCAAATCTTCAATTTTCTATGCCCAGTCAAAATACGGAAAATCAGCCGCCATCTTGGCTCACGACCGAGTTTAAAGAGGAATGGTTCTAGCGTGTAATGTGACGTCAAATCGAGAACACGAAAGTCTGCATTTCACACATTTTCACTTGTTTGGGAAGGTTGTCGTCGATATTGTCCGAAATATGCCGACTAGGTATGTTGTATGAGGAATGTGTAAAGCGCGATACCCTCTTGCAAATATCGCACGTTGCTACATCCTCCTACAACACACTTAGTCGGCATATTTTTGGACAATATCAACTACAACCTCAAACAAGTGAAAATTTGTGAAATGCAGACTTTCGTGTTCTCCATTTGACGTCACATTACCCGCTAGAACCATTCCCCTTTAGACTCGGTCGTGAGCCAAGATGGCGGCCGATTTTCCGTATCTTGACTGGGCACAGAAAATCGAGGATTTGAGCAAATAAAATGAATTTTGCACAGAAATACTCCAAAAAATACGCTTATTTCGTTAAGCGAAAATAAAGTTTTTGGGTTCAGATGCACTTTAAGTTGCCCCTGAAAATGTCCGTGCTTCTATATTGTTTTAGTTGCCAGTCAAATATGTGTTCCCATGTTATTTTGAACCCAAGTGGATTTCAGTGCTTTATTTAGTTCTTATTAACCGAGCGGGAGGTCTGCATGGGAGAATCTTGACCTCAGTCGCTGGTACAGACCTCACTGCGTTCGGTCTGTACTGGCGACCTTGGTTAATAAGATGTTTATTATGTGGCTGTGTCTTATATGCCAATTCTTTATATTCTTTGTACCTTTTTTTTCTAGACCGGTCTAGATGCCGGTCTTGATGGGAAAATCTAGACCGCTTTCAATATTGATTTCAACCAATCAAATTCGCGAATTCGGTAGTTCCCAGTCCTTGTGAGACAGCCATATAATAATAAAGGATATTAAGTCTATGATTTCTCAGACCACCTTCAGTGTAATCATTGATTATTGTGTTCTGTTTTATTTTATCCCACACTACCACTCCCTAAGAAAATAAATAATATAGAATTGGACTCCCCCAAACCTTCATGATTTATTGGAAGGGGGGAAGGGATTTGGACTAGTCGAGAAACAATCAGACTCTCTAGCACTGTGATATTATCTAGCAGAGATAGCATTCGTAGTTCCCAACAGCCTTGTGGAAAACCAGACTCCTAACGCTTTTCAATTTTTTCCGGCCATAGAATCTCGTTACTTTCCTTATTGATCCCCATCCAAAGAGTCTCCGTTTTCAGAGAAATTGCAAATTTTTTTTTATCAGTCGAGAACAAGGGTGGTATAATCAGCCTACTGGCTAATATTAACTTAGTTTTCGAAGATCATTATTCCTTTTATGCCTGTGACCTGCTTAGATATCTATCGTTGAATTCATTGTTAGACCGTCGAGTGGACATCACTGATTACGATCGATCAGGCTAATTCATTTCTGCTCCACAAGGGTATGGTGGCCGATGCTTGCCATTCATATTTTCCGTTGTTTTGTTAAGATTTTCCAAAAATATCTGAGATAAAATCAAAACCAACTCAATCAGAAATTAAATTGGATAATCAAAGTAAAAACAAAATTAAATTACTAAGCAGTTACAAATGCAACGAAAAACGCATTATAAAGCAAAACAACTTTAAAAACAAAGTGCAATCAAAACAAAGAATTGATTGATATTAAAAATAATTGGCTGAGGAAAATGAAAATAACAACTCTCTTCTGTCCTAAAACGAGAGCGAAATGAAACAGATTTGTCAAATAATTTCTAAAACAAGAGAAAAAGTAAAACGCAAATCAATTTAAACTGACCGTGGCCTATCGTTGCCATAGCCCACAAGGCTTTGCGATTTTAAAAAGGGGAGGGGAACTGGGAAATATTATAGGGATGGAACAGAATGGCTTCCAATGTTCGAAATCCTACCTGGCGATCTGACGCAAAACTAAGGGAAGACATGGAGACATAGGTCAGTCGAGGGTTGCGACGAGAGGAAATATTAAACTTTCTCGTACGAGACTTTCCACAGTATGCGTGGAGTCTTCGTACTCTTGATAGAAGACTTCGAGAATTTGATATACATTTCTCTGACACGAGAATTTCGGTTGAAGAAGTAAAGGAAGCAATCAAGAATGAACTTGGTGGTCCTAGATGTCTTCTTGGGTATAGAGCAATGCAAAATAAGTTAAGGCAAGAATACAAACTCAATGTACCCAGAGATTTAGTGCACGATGTTATGTTTGATCTCGACCCTGTTGGTCTGGCTGCAAGATGTCCCACCAATAGGAATGAGAAAGTTAGGGGGGCAGTTTACGACAAAAGGAGTTAATTGGGTCCATTCCATGGACGGTCATTACAAGTTAATGGGATATCGAAACAGGACATTCTCACTTGCAGTTTATGGCAGCATTGATACCGCAAGTCCTAAGTTGCTATGGTTAAGAGTATGGGTGACTAACTCTGATCCAAAGCTTATTAGTCTATGGTATTTGGAGTACCTTTACGAATCTAGGAAAATGCCGTCAATCATAAGAGTTGACAGGGGCAGTGAAACTGGCATTATGGCTACCATGCAGGCATTTCTAAGACAAAACCATGGCGTTATAGAACCAACTGATACAGTTGTGTATGGACCATCAACAGCAAATCAGGTATATGCTATATAACAAATTTTTGGTTTGAGATAAAGATACATGTGTGTGTATATAATGTGGATGTGTAGTTTATATCAAGAAGTCAAGAAGTAGTGTAATATACATGTAAAGACAACTGTAAGCGTTCATACTTATTGCAGTATTTAATTGACAGATCGAGCGTTGGTGAAGGGAGTTACACGAGATATTAGAAAGATATTTTAAATTGCAGCTCTGCATGCTGAAAGACCAAGGCCTATATGACCCAGACAATGAGACCCATAGGTAATCATCTAATTTTTCCTTGTTGGATGACATGCATTACCAACGTGGAAAAAATGCATATTTTGCAAAATTGTGAAGAGTATTGCTTATGGTGTATCCTCTGAGAATAAGATTGCAGAGGACATCTTCCTTGGGAACCTGTAGCTTAAGAAGAGATTCACATGGATCTACAAGTGGTTTAACCATACTTGGGGCCAAAAAAGTATCAAAGCTCATGACAAAAGTTTCTGTTAGTGTCATCATCACCATCTTTATTTGCCTTATTTTAACAATTAAAAAATAGTTAATTACAGCGATAACAGTTAGAAGGCGAGGAGACCCAAGAAGCCACCAGGCTTATGGGAGAGCCACCTCACTTAGAATAATAAACTAAGTAAAGAAAAAGTGCTGCGAATGTGCGGCTTGGCCAATTCAGTGATTATTTAAGTAAAAACTATTGCAATTTCGCTTTAAAGCCAAGAAAGTTTGACGAACGAGTGACTGAAATAGGAAGAGAGTTCCAAATTTTAGGACCTTGGTAGAGAATTGTAAACTGCTTGACATTTTTACGGCACAAATGCGTTCGATAATTACTGGCTGTTTTGGTACCATAGTTGTGAATTTGGCTATTCCTTACAAAAACCTCACTTAGAATAATAAATTAAGTAAAGAAAAAGTGCTGCGAATGTGCGGCTTGGCCAATTCAGTGATTATTTAAGTAAAAACTCTTGCAATTTCGCTTTAAAGCTAAGAAAGTTTGACGAACGAGTGACTGAAATAGGGAGAGAGTTCCAAAGTTTAGGACCTTGGTAGAGAATTGTAAACTGCTTGACATTTGTACGGCACAAATGCGTTCGATATAAACTGGCTGTTCTGGTACCATAGTTGTGAATTTGGCTATTTTGCAAATAATAAATTCTATTTAAGTTAGATACGTATGTGGACGACCAGACGGAGTTACAATAGACGATATAAGGATAAACTAAGGTGTAATACAAAGTGAACTTGGTTGCAGAGGATAGGGAAAAGCGAGACCTAAATATAATACCTATTGATTTAGCGATTTGTTTACATACATAGCTGATATGGTATTTCCAGGTGAGATGAGTGTCTCTTTGAAATGCTCAACTAAAGTGAGAAAATACAAACATGGTTTCTCAAAGTGTTTTAAATGAAGTCAGGTTTGTCAATAACAGTATGAAACAAGGCCTGGGCATAATTTGTTCATATCCAAATGCAAGTTCCAGTTATGGTAGTACCTAACCTTTACCTTCTTTTTTTTTTTCCCCTCAGGATGCTGTTGGCTTTCATTAAAATTCCGATCATACAAAAACAGCTAGACTCATTTCGAGAAACTATCTGGAAGACTCACAGAATCAGAAGACAAAAAAAATAGTTCTCTTCCTGATGGAGTGCCGGATCACATTTCCAACTTTCCACAAGAATATGGGTTGGAAGAGTGCGGTAGAAAATCCTAATCAGTTTCCTTCAATCAGGCAATAAAATAGATGCTGCTAGTAGTTCTATCACATGCAATGAGACTTGAACAATTTTGACACTTCACGACTCTGGTTCACCCTGTATCATATAATTTTATAATGAATTACCTTTCATAGTAGTGATTTGTCATTTTGTGCCCTACTAAAGCAAAGTTTATTCGAATAGAGTCATGAACGAAACCAATTCCTTATCATTTTGATTCACATTGCATCATGGAATGCTGAGTTCATAAAAACTAAGTCTAAAGTGTCAATGGGTTTTCAATCTCGATCATCACTTCAATCCTTTCCTGAAACTTCTTCATGTAAATAATAACATTACAATTGTGCAGGACAGTTTGCACTATTAGTGAAGGATGCAGAAAAGCATAACAGTGGAAGACTAATAAAACTAGTGATAATGTAACTGAAACTGGGTAGTTAGCAGGTGAAAACCCAATATTTTATTGTAAACGGATTTGAACAGACATGCTCTCTTTCAGGATGGCCTGTGACAGAAGACCAGCTAAAGGAAGTTGCTTCCCACTCAGGGGTACTACAAACTCCATCAGATTTTCTTCATCCTAACCTCCGGAAAGCTTGCGAGGACCTTATACCATCCCCTGAAGAGGTTGAGCCAAAACACTGCATGGACGCGTTTTTGTACTTGAAGAACAATTTCCCATTTCATATACATTTGTGTAGAAGCTACAATGCCAACTATGTTTTTGAAGTTGGCTGCGTACATTTCAAAATGTCTTGTTTAGTGTATGGTTGTAATAATACGTTTTACAGACCTTTACCAATTTTCAAAATTATTTTGTGAATGCCTGCACTATATCACGTTAACCACCCATCCATAGTCCAAACCCCCACGGAGGAGCCAAGTGATGTTTTCTCCTGTTAAAAAACTGTCCAAGACCTTTTTTTGTCAGGAATATTCTGACTTCGACACGGTAAAAGACAGCTTATTCATGATAGTCTCATACAATCTCAATCCCAACATACTGTAACAAGCGTGCAATTATCATTCTATTTAATATTAACTCATGTTAAAGTCTAAAGCCTAGATTCAATCTTTTGGTTTTCAAAGGTATACATGTTGTACAGAACTAATTTCACAATGTTGCTTGAACCACTGATTACTCAAACTGTCCAAAGAACTATAACAACTCAATACTGTTAAACTTTAGAAAAAACAGCATTGTGGAGTGCCATAACTTTCTATTATTAATTGCCTAAAACATTACGCAGTCAAAGTATTAAGGTACAATACTTGGACACAAACCAACTGTAAAAAGAACCTGTATGACAAACCTGGTTACACTTCAGTGTAACATATGAAGGCGTGAAAGGGTATTTAGTTGAAAGGTGATACATTTTTCAATGGCTTCCCATTGACGGACTCGGGGGGCATTTGTTGAAATTTGTCAGGCATGTGGGAGTAAACATCAGTAGCATACCAAGTGGTTGACCCCTAGGGACTGTTTGTAATACTTAGCCTAAACTAATTATAGGTCAGGGGTGTATGGTTCACAAGTTCTTGTATTGCATGGAAGGTGTGGGCTTTTTGAAGTCACAAATGCATGATTTTAACGTGGAATTGCAAGAGAACAAAGAGAGCCCCACCCTAGGCAAAAGCCACTTACTGATGCATACACCCTAGTGTTAATCTTCTCAAGGACAAATTCTTTTTCAAAGACAGCTTTTAACTTACAAGGCCTGTAAACCTAACAGGTTACAATACACATTGCAATTGTGCGCACTAATGAAGTTATTGATGGCTGTAGTTGACAGATTTCCAGTAGAAAATAAAACCTCTTCATCTTCAATCAATTTTCGGGATGCTATTTCAGGGTCAAAGAGGTCATATCCACTACCTTGCATGCCTAGTATCATAAGCTCCTTCTCTGAGTGCTCGTAAGAAAAATGAGCAAGACTTTCTGCTTTCTTCAAGGTTTGTGAGTCATTGACACTCAATTCCCCATTGTTGTTTATATACTTGGTGAACTTCCCCTCAAGAAATTCTTCAATAGTGACAAATTCACCCCCTTCCATTTTACCCATAAAAACCTTTTTAATACTTAAGAGTTTCTCCGTACAACACCAAAGCGTCCTCTTTGGCAAGTTCGTTCTGCAACTTAGCAGCAATGTTTTTAGCTAACATTTGCATTTGAACGACCTTTTTCGTATGCTGCTCTACTGTCTGCTTTACTGCTTCAATATTATCAACAACAGCTTGCAGATATTTCTTTACGACCCATTTACAATTATGAAAACCTGGTGTTGTGCTGCTAGCTTTAAATACTCTTGGGAATCCCCCAATTCCGAAGGGCTCCCTTTCAATGGCGAACTCGACCTCTTGTGGATTTCTAGACCAGCTTATCTGGTTGACGTCGAAAGTGTACAACTGGATAATATCTGTAGATCTGTCATGGATAACTTTCCCGAGATTGAGCATCTCAACAACTGAGAGACTTTTGGCTACCATTTCGCTGACACATGACTCTTTCTTTTTTGGTGAAGGCTCACTCTTAAACTGTGTTTGTTGTTTTCTTTTAATTCCTGGCACGGGGTCGGCAGCTTCATGTCCACTCGTGGCAGAATACGACTGAGCTGGCTCGATGAACCGGATATACACGACTCTCATATCGGGTATTTGGGCCAACGAATAGCAGGATGGACCTTGCTCTCAAGCTAAGATATCACGCAGCGTGTCATTCCCAATAATTGATGCGAAATGTTTTTTGCAGGCACTCTTGATGTTAGCTTATGTCACCTCCTCGTAGTCATATGGTACAAACTCTCTCGGCCCAATACGTGAATATTTTTGCGCTTTTCCGGACATTTCCGCGCTTAGCCGTTGGATAACAACCTCTTCTCTTGCCAGTATGTCATGGCTCACAACACCCTTCTTACCAGTTCTTTTCTCCTTCATTGCTGTTTTGAAATTTTTCCACGCCGCGGCCATTTTTCCTCTTTTTAAAATCGCAAAGCCTTCTGGGCTATGGCAACGGTAGGCCACGGTGAGTTTAAATTGATTTGCGTTTTACTTTTTCTTTTGCTTTTGTTTTAGAAATTACTTGACAAATGCGTTTCATTTCGCTCTCGTTTTAGGACAGAAGAGAGTTGTTATTATAATTTTCCTCAGCCAATTATTTTTGACATCAATCAATTTTTTGTTTTGATTGCACTTTATTTTTAAAGTTGTTTTGCTTTATAATTGGTTTTTTGTTGCATTTGTAACTGCTTAGTGATTTAATTTTGATTCTACTTTGATTATCCAATTTAATTTCTGATTGAGTTGGTTTTGATTTTATATCAGATATTTTTGGAAACTCTTCACAAAACAACGAAAAATATGAATGGCAAGCATCGGCCACCATACCACAACAAGTAAAGCACAGAATAGCTTTTTACTCCCGCTTTTCGGATTTTGCGATACCATGCCTTATTATGGACACTCCTTTACATGGAATAGTTAGTTTTAAGAAGGCCCAGAATCCACTTATGTCTCTTAAACTACTGAACTTGAAATATTTGACATAAATGGTTCTCTTCAAGGGGGAATATAATGCTGATCACGTCTACTGTATTAACTGCCTGTCACTGAACGTAAAGGAAATAAATGAGTGAAATCGTCCAACCTTGCTGAAAAGATCTTAGCTTTTGATTTTGAACTGAATTGAAATTTTCTTTTCAGACTTTATTTGCAAATCTAAAATCCGTGTTATCACCACGGAAAACTATCAGGCCTCTATTTGATAACTTCCCTCAACGAACCCACTGTCAGTTAATAAGTAAATCTTGTGTAGCTTCTTTGCCTTTTATGCATTTTGCGTTTTATGCATTTTGCGTTTCACCCCTTTCACAGTGGCTATATAAAATTTTAACTCATTCCTCTCATTTTCATTCCTTCAGTTTCACGTTTTCATTTCATTCCAGATGAGATCCCACACAACCATAGCTCAACCACACCCTTATTTGTAAACCATTCTCACTCCATCAGTTTTTTCACGTAAATCTAAGTAGAGTGATGTTGGTGTCCTGATAAAATTTTAGATAAATGGAATATGAACCTGAAAATACCAGTTTGTAAGGTGGACAAACACTAAGAGGGTAGAAAAAATTCAAATGGATCAAGCAGATTTAATCATTAACACAGTTCGGAACCTAACACCCTGAAAGTTTTCTTTAAAATGAAAAATTCGACCATGGCATGGTAAACTAGACACCTAGGGCTCGACACCAACTTTTCAACTAACTAGCCAAGTGGCTGGTGACAACTTAGATGTCACGACAATTTCAGGTTGCTTACTAGCCAAACTGGCCAGTGGAAATCGAAAACCACTAGCCAAAACTGAATTTCTACCAGTCTGTGGCTAGTTGGCTACCGTTAGTGTCGAGCCCTGACACCAAGGATCGATTTCAAGATATAATATATGCTACTTTCAGGAAGTGAGACTTAGGACCTCTAAAATCTCCTCCACACATCATAGGGTTTTACCGTCAATGTTGGCTGTGGCAAAGGTCTTACCTTGCGATAATGAATGATACATTTAATGCTTACAGTCCATCCACTTGGTATTGTCTAATTACACATAACACAACTGAAATGGAAAGCTTGCCATGGAACCGACGTCTAAGGCAATTCTCTGACCTTGAGAATCCTGATCGGGTGGTTGCGTTTGGAACGCACTTATGCTAATGAAAAACAACGATCAAACTTTCTTGTGATCAGCAGTTCTATTAGGTTACCCAAGAGAACATAGTTTTATGGTTTTTAACTTGTCTAAGATATTAAAGTACCTCACTTCAGTCTTGCTTGAAGAAACATTAAGTGTTTAGAGATGATATCTCGTTCTTAAACAATTACCAAGTCAATCTTTCACACTTTCCTATCACACTATCCTCCCTTACAATGCTATAAATCTTAGCTGTTAACTACTTCTTAAGAGACAGCCAGTTTTTTCAGATTCCCATGTGAAGTTAAGCTGTATCTGTCACCTCAATCTCGATGTCAGCAGCCAGGAATTCAGCAGCTTCAGCCTCTACGCATGCGTTGTATCCTTCTCGATGGTACGCCGCGAACATACGCGGAGTAAAGAACTGATTGGCTGTGATGTGTTGCGGGAAGACACCACACAGGCAATTCGACAACTTTTGGTACTTGAAACTATGACAGCTCTCACAGCAGCAAAAGGTTAAATCGTCGACTTCATCGGTATCTTGCTGAGGACTCTCTCCCCATTTGGCAGCTTCGAGATCTACATCTATGTCACGCAAAGCGTCTTTCCATGACAATGGTTCTTCTTTCTGAATACCTTTAGTAGGGTGTCTTGGCGAGATGAGGAGAATCTCACCCTCGCCAACTTTGGTCCCCTTTGAGTATTCGTCTTCTTTTTCATAGTAGGTAACCTTAAACCTGTCGATGTGAAGATAAAATCTTAAGTAACGGCGATAAAAATTAATAAAGGCTGATAGTTTCTAAAGAAACTGTTTGGGGCTGCGTCGGTGGGGGTAACGAAATTATTTGAAATATCAACAAAGTTGAAATGGTAAATTGGCCACAATTACGATTATAAAAGCTGACGTTTCGAGCGTTAGCCCTTCGTCTTTCGCTCCGACGAAGGGCTAACGCTCGAAACGTCAGCTTTTATAATCGTAACGGTGGCCAATTTACCATTTTGAACTTTGGCCTTAAAAATTGTTTGTTTGTCATGTTATTTATTACATTACACTTTGGCAATTAGTTTTGACTTTCTCGAGAATTAATCGACCCATGGAATTCGACAGGTCTTAATCTCTGACGCATCAATTAGAACCCAGAAACATCAGCCTACAAACAATGCTGCGACTTAAAGTGCACCTAAACCCAAAAATTTTTTTTCGCTTAACGAAATAAGCTTATTTTTTGGAGTATTTCTGTGCAAAAATTTTTTAACTTGCTTAAATCTTGAATTTTCTGTGCCTAGTCAAAATACGGAAAATCGGCCGCCATCTTGCCCCACGACCGAGTTTAAAGAGGAATGGCTCTAGCGGATAATGTGACGTCAAATCGAGAACACGAAAGTCTGCTTTTCACACATTTTCACTTGTTTGGGAAGGTTGTCGTCGATATTGTCCGAAATATGCTGACCAGGTGAATTGTATGAGGAATGTATGAAGCGTGATACCTTCTTGCAAATTTCGCACGTTGCTACATCCTCCTATAATACACTTAGTCGGCATATTTTCGGACAAAATCGACTACAACCTTCCTAAACAAGCGAAAATGTGTGAAATGCAGACTTTCGAGTTCTCGATTTGACGTCACATTACCCGCTAGAGCCAGTCCTCTTTAAACTCGGCCGTGGGACAAGATGGCGGCCGATTTTCCGTATTTTGACTGGGCACAGACAATTGAAGATTTGAGCAAATAAAAAAATGTTTGCACAGAAATACTCCAAAAAATACGCTTATTTCGTTAAGCGAAAAAAAATTTTTGGGTTTAGGTGCACTTTAAGCTATTTCATTTCATCTAGAATCGCATCATTGCATAAAATCTCGCATTCTGATTGGTTAACTAAGCGAGGTATTTAGCGTAAAATTGCGAGTTTAAAACGAGGCTAAGTGATATTGTTTCGTATCTACGTCTACACAACAGTAAGTAATGCTGTTTTCTTTGTGTTCTTATTTCTAGTCAATTATGCGATTCAAGAAAAATCCACTACTTGACTCTTGAAATCTGCGTTAAATTGGACTTGAAAACCGATGTCGCTTCGCGATTCGTACCATATCGGTTTTCGCGTGTAATTTAATGCGGAATTCCCTCGTCAAGTAATGAATTTTCCTATAGAATGTAACTTTCAAACTTTTGAGCGACAAATGGATGCTCTCTTTTGCATTTTGAATTGGAAAGCGCTCACTTAAGAACAGCGGCGGTGAAACATAACTATTATTAGCTCAAATAGGTTTAATTTGTTACCACTAGAAAATTATCTGTACAGACAAACGCGTTTATTTTTCTACCTGTAGCTTCTCGGCTGGTGACCCTTTGGTGTATAAATAAACTTCTCCTTAAGGTCTTCGATGACGTCACGGCCATCCATGCCATTAAAGGAACAGTGCAGCTTCTTACGAGCCAACTCCAAGGCATCTAGTAAGCTTTCCCCCCATTCTATGTCTTTAGTCTTGAGGCCACCATCCACAACAACAATCTTGGGCAAGCGTTTCTTCAGGAGAGGAAGAACAGCAAGATTTTCTATGTGGCCGCCATCACTAAGGCGCAAGATGGGAGGCGGCATGGGGCCTTCATTGGTGACAGCCAACAATTCGCGAATAAAGCGAACGAACGCGATATTGGTGATGAACCATCTACCGAAGAAAGAGGAACAACTCATGGGTAAAATTACGTATTATTTGTTTTGTCCCTAACGAGGAACAAATTAAAAATCTGAGTCCCTTACGAAGAATCGAACCCCAGCCCTTCCCAACTACTAGAATAAAAGAAAACTCAAAGGTAAGCCAGGTCATTATAAGGCTCCTATGTGACAAACGTCGTGCAGAAACCTTATGGAATCGTTCGACCACAAATATTTGGAAATTTGACGCTTACCTCACTACCAATTCAAGTTTTGTTGGAGTTTTACTTCCAGTGTTCATCACAGCGAGAATTACCATTACCAGAAGCACGATGAAGAAAATTAAAACGCCAATGGCGACCCAATTCTCACTTCCCCCAGCAAAGTATACCAACGGAAAGGTTACCAAGGGGAGACCACGCAGAAGTTCGATAAGAAAAGGTAGCATCTGTAAATTAAACAAGACCAAAGTCTCATTCATATGTAACGAAAATTATGACTACTGCAACGAAAGGACCATCCGAATTCATTGTCAAGAGAAGAGCGCCACTTTTTAAAATAATATCACCTCTAGCAGAGTGCACACAGTTCGAAAAAAGGATGCTTAGTGTTATTAGACAGTATCAATAGTCGTTTTCGGTAGATAACCTAGAATTAAACAAAACGAAGCAAGACCCGCAACTTCCAGGGATTTTCCTTATCATAGTTCCTATTAGGGTCCATCTAATGAAGCGCGTAGTACAGGAAACACATTTATAAGAACCAAATTGTGGAAGTTAGACCTGACATGATCTTTTAATTGAAACAATTACATTGACCAACGTATTCAGGTTAACTTTATTTATATGGGAACGTGTTGCTCTTAACATCTGAAAACTTTATAAGGTCTTATATTTTGGGGTAATTACTGGTGAATTCTTCTACAAAGAACTTGTGCTTACCTTCCAACAACAGTTTTCTTTCTTTACACCTTCCAAGTCTGATATCATGGATGCACCCATACCAAGACCCAACACAATTTGCAACTGCTTTATGCTCTCAGTTGACTTTTCATAAGCACCCATATGTCGAGCGACTGCAGCAGCTGATGTTGCCATGGCAGTCGACAGCTTAATGTCTTTCGGTTCAAGTTTTCCTTCAAACTGATCTTGTCCTGGTCGTCGATCCAAGCGTTCTATCTCTGTTGGTGAGAACACAAGAAGTTCGTATCTCAACTCTTCCTCTGTCTCACCGAGAAGCCATTCGTTAACCACAATGTTAGACAAGTACTGCGGTTTGACTCCATCCAGGTCCCCAAGGGTCAAAGGTCCTTGCTCATTATCAGCGAGTTGTTCGTGCTTGCTCGGCCTGATGCAAAATGTTCTTAAGAAAAAGTCTTCCATACCAATTCCTCCACATCCCGTTGAACCCACGCTGGCTCCCGTGTAGAAAGCTTTCTGCAGCCTCCATCTGGAAAGCAAAGTTCATTTAATTGAAAGTGAGCAGCCGCTTTCACTGTTGAGAGCCATTTAGTATTAGATGATTTGGTATTCAATTTTATCAGTATCGTAAGAATCTTTTTTTTTTTTAATGTCAGATCTTAGTGAGTATTCATGCACACAAAAAAAGTTTAGTCGGGTACCCCCTTCCCCCCCCCCCAACCTCACCGGGGAACCTTTAGCGAGACTTGGTTGACCAGGTAATAAAGTTTGAGTCATCCGTAGGTTTTTTATTCAAACGGTGGCTTAAAAGGTAGCCCGGCTGGGCACTTTCTGCTAAATAACCATATTTATTTTTCTTTTCTGATGTATCTGTATTTCCACACCATAACGCTCAACCCGAACGTCTTCTGAACTTGCATCAAGCGTTTTTGTAACCTCTATAGTCAACGTTTAGCGTGCTTTGATCGATGGAAAAGGTGATCTCGATAGGCCTCAACGCAAAACGCTTGCAAGTGAAGACTGACAACCCGAGTTTGGGAAAAGTGGCTATTTTTAGCACTGTTTGGGGTGACTCAACCAAGAGCTCGTGTGAAAAGGCCTTTGGCCCATTTTACAGATATCATATCTATGTGCAGTGCTGTTAGTAAATAGTAAATAGATACCGCTTTTAGGTCTTAAAATTGGCTGCAAAGCAGTGTTTTGGTACACACCTGTTTAGAAAAAGATTGACTAGATAAAAGGACAAAAGTACACGCGACAATCTCGAAAGGTAATTTGGGTATCTGGTAATCAGTAAATTTTGATAAGTAAAATAAACGTATAAATTTGTCAAACCAGCTATCCCTTATTCTTACAGTGAAGTTTTCTCCGATTTCCCTGAAATCTTAAGGTCAAAATACCCACATTACCTTTCGGGATTTTCACGTGCATTTGTACGCGTTTTTTCGACTTAGGAAGTGGTAAAAATTTCGGCCGAGTTATTGCACGCATACCTGTTGAATACATGAACGAGACGCTGTTGAATTGCTCCTAACCCTGGGACAAAATACAAAGTGATGCCAGAAGTAAAGAGGAGTGCATAGAAAAGATAATCAGAGTACTCCACACCAAATAAGGTGGCTTCAAACACCTTCCAATACACGAAGTAAGCGTACAGATAAATCACTAGAACAAAGGACGATCTGCGCCTCAGAACCGGGAAGAAAAACCACACAAAAATAGAAAACACAAAGATTATGAGTTGCATCCAATACGGAGTCAAGTTAAAGAAGTAATAGATAAAGTATGGAATGAATGTGAAGGCGAGTAAGAGACCGCTTATGACAGAGATAATGTAAAGCTTTGATGCCAAAGCAGTTTTTGATTTTTTAGCCGCCAAATAGAGAACAAGGAAAAGGATTGCTAGGACAGAAAACAGAACTATTCTTGCATAGGCTTTAGACCCAGCCCGTATACGACACCGTTGCCTTCGTTCGCCAGCTGTGGCATTTCCTCCTGCAGTTGGCCTAGGTCTCCTTGGGCCTGGTACGGGGTCTTCACAATCTTCCTCTACTTCGTCTTCGGCTCGCAACAGATCTCCAAATATGAAATCGATGACGTAAGCCAGAGGGCAAACGTACGATCCCCACACAATTGTGGGCATTATAACGGAAACAAACAGCATTAGCAAAAGCAGCACAATGGTGTCAAATATCCCGCCGAGTGTTTTCTGCCAGTTGCACATCAATCCCGCCCTCTCTCTCATGTAATCAAAGAACTCTGTATGCCATTTAGGATCATCTTTCTTTCCATGTCTGTATTTCCAGTCCAAGTAGGCCGTGCCCGTGTAACCTCCCCCTGACACGCAGCTGAGGTAGTCGATCTTGGCGTTACGCTGTAAGAGCCTGCGCAGAACACCAGAGCATAGGGCCGCTGACCGAATACCACCTCCAGAGAAGGCAACTCCTGTTTCAGCCATCTTGACTTTAATCTCTGCTTTATAAAAAAAAAGATGAAATATTCATGAGATCCGTTAACTCTAGGTTGTTTGTGTGTCGATCTCTCGGAAAGGTTGTCTCGTTTTGAAAAGGAAAAGGGTTCTTCCCTTGGGTATTAGTTCATTCATAAATAACTGAATAAAATAAATTCAGCGTACTAATATGTCAAGCAATATAATATATGGAAAATAATAAAGACACAGAGTAATAAATATGGTCAGGAAAAGGGAAAGATCAACATGGATTGTATGCGGCAAGTTTGATAAAATTTAGGATAAATTTTGAAGATGAACGCACACAAACCGTGACTAGACTTTTTGACAGTCCTTAACATTCGGATTACTCTTAAACAACGCCGCGACGTACTAACACTCCTCTACATAACAAAAATAAACCACTTTCATAAATGGCTGCCGGATTAATATTCTTTTGTTTAAATTTAAATTAGCCCTTCTGGCCTCCTTCTCCAGTACAAAAATCAAAAGATACATTATCTCAAGCGAGGCCAGAAGGGCTCATTTAAATTTAAAAAAAAGAATATTAATCCGGCAGCCATTTATGAAAGTGGTCTATGCTCGAAAATAAACAGAGTCAACTTGGTCGTCGTTGCTACTGGTCGTTATTTGATGAATTTTTTTAGTTAGAATCTACGTGACAATAGCGTTTCCTGTCATCACCTTCGTAATTGGTTTAAAGTACTGATGAAATATTCTCTAACTTGACCATCAGATTGTTCACTCCTGTTTATTCGAGTAACATTCTTCGATGCTAACATATGAAATAGAGTAATTTTGTAGAAAGGATGGCCTAAATCAGTTGTTTAAAAAATATTTTTTGAGTTTAACCTATAAAGGTGCGCTTTTAGTCAATGCATTCCGCATCATCGATCATGCCAACGGTTCTTGTTTGTGGTAGAATTATTCAAAGCCTGACTCGAGCGCTTATCGGTGTAACCGCATGTACTCTCATCTGAAATCAAACTTAAAGAAGCATTTGATGAAAAGATGACAAAGCACCATCTTTCATGGACGAAAAAATGTAATCCAAATAAAGTAAAGACAATAAACTTTGCTTCACCCCAAGACAGTTAAGGTCATAGGAAAACAACGTGACCCAAGGGCCTGGCCTCTTCGCCATCATCGTTTTCGACCAATTCACGCGAAGTTTCGCAAAGCTAGAGATGAGATGCCATGATATCATCGCTGGGCTTCATATTATGGAGAATTTAACCTCAAAAACTTTCAGTTATGTCCAGTCCCAACTATAAAAACTGCCTAGGTTGTTCGGCCTTCCGAATGCATCATAATTTCGTTACTATATTTACACGAGGGAATATCTTCTTTCTAAAGCTTTACGACAAAAAAAATCGTACAACACATAACTGACCCTACCTCAAAAACCAAAGATGAACTCCTTGTTTGAGGAATTAAAATTGCTGCTAGACTAAGCGAAGCGTTTTTAACTGTCTAATGTTTGCACTTGCGAGTCACGTACATGCATATTTCAAAATACTGCTTAGAGAGTCCTAACACGATTTATTTGTCTACTCATTAAGTCAGTGAACCGTTTCACAAAACAATGTCGTTCTGTCTCTCGTATTTAAATTTCGAGCGTAATTACATTTCGCAATTACTTCGTTACCCGAGAGAATTGCTGGGTTACTAACGAAATAAAGGTGATGAACATCGTCAAAGCAAATCTAGATCTTGCCATGTAAAAGTGCCTCGCACTTAGAGTTATGTCACAGACTCCAGACATTGGGAATTTGAGTACAACTGCATGCTTTCGTGTCCATTGCTCTGCGGGCTCAACCGCTGAGACCACGAACGACTTCCATGCGCTTGATCAATATTGAAAATTGATGTTTCTAAACGCAACTAAGCGTAAGTACAAAAGACACTGAGCGTTCAGAGAAACTTCACATTGAATGTCTCATGTGATTTTAGTGAGAATATTCCACCTTTTGCCGAATTCACAAGATCGTGTAAATTTTGGAGACGACGAAGTAGAATATTGAAAAGCAACACTTCTTTCTGATACAAGTGGAGTAGTATTGGTTTCATTAGTTCACCCGACACCTTGTAAAGAGAGACAAATTATTGCGATATCGTTATTTCGCTCTGTTCATGAATCACGCCAGCTTTTTACAAGGTGGTATTTTAATACTAAAATATCATTATTTACTCTGGATGTGCAAATGCTTTGGTGGGTCGCTCATGGTATTGTTATTCGGCCGTAACGCACTACCGAAGAAAAAGTATATCCTCAGGGATAGCTAGATAGATAGTTAGATAGACAGATAGCTACATAGATAACTTTATTTAAGTCTCAAGTCGTTTATTGCCGAGTACCAAGGTGCTCTACTAATTGGGGAGATTAAAATATAAAGTAAAGGGAATGTTGACCATGTTACTGTATTATATCTAGGAACGCTAAAATCAGTTTGTCTTAAAAATATAAGAAGATCCTGTGAACAATAAAAATGCTAATTACAATCTTCTTTGTATCCACCCCTAGGGGAACTATTTAAAAGAACGTAATGTAAAAGTCTACCAGGTGTTCAAGCCTCTTTAACCCGCGATTTTTTTTTCACGATATACAGAATTGAGAAACTGTTCCATACTCATGGTGAGTATGGCGGTGTTAAGGGGAGGTGATTTGGGCTTCAAAATTTAGCTAGGAATTTTTAATTGTCTATAATACTTTTAGCCTGCCCATAAGTTTTGCATAAGCTCTCTTTCTTACCCCCGTTTGACAACCGCAAACCTTTCAGTAATAAATGGAAGACAAGGTATACATAAATGGAATTTCTTAGGCAGGCAAGGCGATTTGTGCGAAATTCGAAAATATGGAAAGATTACCGACCCTGTTATCATTAAGTGATCCCACAAGGACGAAATAAATAGAAAGAAACCAAATCATAGAAACCAAACTCAAACAGCCGTTACCTCAACAACGAGTAACAACCTGTTGTTTTCAAGCCGCTAATAAATATTTATACCAGTATTTGAAGTATGCTTACATGACTGCTTTGAATATTTAACAACTATTCAGCGAAGGGGAGTTAGCAGTGTTGAATATTTATTTGCTCAGCCGTGAAGGGGCGAGATAAATATTCACCACTTTCACCGATACGAAGTAAATAATCGTTTTAGTATGCACAACGTAGAAACCAGAATATTAGTTTATTTCTTTCAATACATAATAAAAAATGGTTAGAAGTAGGTTCTTAACGTGCGATATTGTTTGTTCAGCTGCACGAAGGTGTAACGCCTGCTAATCACTTCAGCGCGCGTGAAAAACACTATTCACTCCCGTGGTAGATAATAAAATGAAAAAACCCTTGATAGCGAGCACAGACACAAAGAAAACTCAAGAAGGATTTTTAAACATGCTTTACTATTACTTTGTGTCCTCCAAGCACTCCAGGCCTCGTTAGAAAGCTGAAAGTAGCCTATTGAGTGATAGCATTTAAATGGTTGAAAAACGTTCCTAGAAAGGATCGGTTGACAATTGAAAGTCGCCAAAGTTCGAGAAAAAAGGTTTTAAATTGAAGAACTTATTCAGAATTTAAAATTTCTCGCTCAACTGCGGGGGCATGCAACGATACGATGCATCCAGTGGTTGCTTCAGCCAACTATCTAAAAAACCCGACCAATGAATAAATGTGTCAGTGGGGGTATTACAAGATAATTTAGTTCTGTCAACTAAATTAAAAAAGTAAGTTAGCCACCGTAAAGAGTTTCTTAGCAGACGTTTCGAGCGCTAGCCCTTCGTCAGGGAAAGTAGAGGAATTTTGGGTTGGGTTGGGTTTATATACAGAAAAGTGAAGCTACGATATCGTTGGGAACATGGTAAAAGGAAAAACACATGCATAACTTAGTTGAATGAAACCTACCTTTGTTAATCCCGACCCTCTTTGGTTCATCCTTAGGGTCAAAGAAGTTACCATGTAAGACTTCATCTTGATGACTTCAACAGAGAGCGGAATCGAAATTTCCAAAGTAAGGATGCCTACAATCAAAATCAACAGTGGTTGATTGGTTAAAAGCGGACCTGTAAGGAAACAACTTCTTCTGTCGGAAAGATAACGAAGATCGAAGTGCACCAATGGGAGTGCGCTAAAACGCAATAATCGCAGCCAACCATGTTTTACACTTCACTAACGATATATCAATCACAACTCTTTGATGTTATTGCTTTGGGTGTAAAAAACCCTTCTTACATTATGGTAATAATTTCAGACTGTTTTCGGCTTTTTCTTCTTTCCTGTTTTGTATTGTTTGTATTATTAAGGCAAACTGTTAGATTGGTTAACTAATTTGAGGAGGAAATTATTCATTTTAAAAAAGAACCAAACAAACCTTTTTAATTTCTTTTGTAAATTAATATTTCTATATTTGAATTGATCTCTAACTAAACCACAGAAAAGACAATGACTGCAAAATAGAGTTATAGCATGAATGTTTTAAAATATCATTTCCATTAGGCAGGAAACCCACCAAGCGGTTTGCGCACTCTGATTGCGTTGAATCATGGTCGTGAAACAAAAATTGAGTCATTTGCATCTCGACGCGTTCGGGTGAACGTCTTTGGTGGCAGCGAGATAGCGTGAATATACGTGGATTGTAATGGGGATTCATTGTCTGTTGCCGTTCCTTCGAAAAATAAAAAGTATGACGGGCCTGCGCGACTCCCGTCATTCCTTCGTGACGAATTCGTTCTTAGGAGGCAACCGACGTTATTAAGAAAGATTCGAAACTGCAATCTGCCCAAGAATCTCACACAAATGGCAACAGTTACACTTACAACCGATGGCGAGATGAATAATTTCAAAGTCAGAAATTATATTCCTAGACGCGAGATATTTAACAGGGAATTGACCCTTGACATGCAAACGCATGTCATGCCCTACCACATTGCAATAAACAATTGGAACATACGTTTCGTGGTCACGTCTGCATGGATTTAATAAACATATGCTTGTAAGCGTGAGAAAATCACGGAAACCTTTCCAGGCTTCTCAAAATATAACGACGTTCAGTCACAGCTCCAAACTTAGACTAGCATAAGAGCAAACCCTAGTTGCGAGCCCTTTAATAAGAGCTTTTCTTCGTCCACGAATACACTTTAGACCTCGAGCAACACTAGCTGAAGAGAGGTTGCATGGGGTCATGCGCGTGGGAATTTCTCGTGGCGTTAAAAGACAAAAGCCTCCCGGTTAGCTCAATTGGTAGAGCGCCGGACTGTTGTGCGGGAGGTCGTGAGTTCAAATCCGGCCGGACCAACACTCAGGGTCTTTAAATAACTGAGAAGAAAGTGCTGCCTTTGTAATAATATCTGCAAATGGTTAGTCTTTCTAGTGTTCTCGGATAGGGACGATAAATGGAGGTCCCGTCTGACAAGCCCTTGTATGTTATAAAAAAATTTGTGGGACGTTAAAGAACCCACACACTGTTCGAAAAGAGTAGGGCTCGTAGTGCCCGGTGTTGTGGTCTATCTTTGTGTAGAAAAAGACAGCCAAAGACAGCCAACACGCTCTTCAAATCTTTCGAGACTTTAATTTCCTTGGCCAAAACAAACTTCTTTTCACCATGGATATTACGTCTCTTTACACTGTCATTCCTAATGGCGAAGGCCTTCTGGCCCTTAAACATTTTTTTGATCAACGGAACCTAAATCTGAAACACTACTACGCTTAGCCGAACTAGTGCTCATACTCAATTGTTTTTCATTCGGAAGCAACTTCTTCAAACAAACCGATGGTGTAGCCATGGGCGCCAAAATGGGACCTAGCTACGCCAATCTTTTTGTAGGTTTTGTCCAACACCAATTTTTCAGCCAATACAACGGCTCCAAACCTGAACTCTACGGTCGCTACATCGACGACTGTATCGGCGCTACCCCAGCTACCAGAGAGGAGCTCACTCAATTCATAACCGCAGTCAATTCTTTTCACCCGGCTCTGAAATATACCTGGGAAATTTCTGACAATTCTTTATCCTTTTTAGACATCAAAGTTTCAATTGAAGGCAGCGGTTTATGCACTAGTGTGTATTACAAGCCTACAGACTCGCACAATTACTTGTTATATTCGTCTTCGCATCCATCTCACGTTAAGAATTCCATTCCTTTTTCTCAGTTTCTAAGACTTCGTCGTTTATGTAGTGATGACTCTGATTTCCACCACAAATCAGAGTCAATGTGCCAGTTTTTCGATAAACGTGGTTACCCTGTTTCTGTCGTTCAAGCGGGTTACCACCGCGCCCAACTTATTGATCGACATTCAGCACTACAAACGTCGCATAAGGAAGATTCCGACCGCATTCCATTCACTCTCACGTTTCACCCTCACAACCACTCAGTTAAATCCATCATTCTTAAAAACTTTAAATTACTTCAAAACGATCCAGAGACAAGCACTATCTTTTCGCAGCCTCCGCTCATTTCATTCAAACGCGACAAAAACATAGGCAATTTTTTGGTCAGAAGTTCTTTTCAGACTAATGACCAACCAGGCACTTTTAAATGCGCTTTTGTAATCGTTACGGTGGCCAATTTACCCTTTCAACTTTGTTGATATATCCAAATTATCTTTGTGTAGTGTCTATCAAATTGATGGGGGGTACTGCGCCTTTGAATATTGTATAGAAAAGGCGCAATATAAATAAGGAATTCATTCATTCATTTATTCAAAAGGAAGTCAGCAGAAAGAAGCCGTCCAGAAGAATTTCAAGAATTTCTTTTTTGACCAGGTGTCCAAAACACCAGCATCCTCCTATGAAATGCACGGCTCACAGATCAGCGAAAGAAATAGACTTTGCGAACAAAAAGAGGCTATGTCACCCATTCGTTTAGTGGATTTCTTCTTTTCCTCAGCAAATTGCAAATCTTCAACTCTCTAGCGTTTTTAAAAATTGGCCTTCCAAGGGAAATGTAATTCTTTGTCTTTTCACGCCACGATAACTTCCGACACTTGTGACCATGCTAACGCGCGGCCGACAAAATTTGTCCCGGGTAAAACCTTGCAGAGTTCGACTGAATATACAGAGTTCAGTTTACCAATAGATTGCAGTGATTATCTTTAATTGCGAAACTCGCGGATTTTACAATTTCTGAAAAATTAAGATGAATCCTGGTAAATGGAGTTTAAATCTATACGAAATTTAAATTTGTGCGTAGGTTAGGCGCTGGAATGTCCCACCTTAAGACGGCGGCGCGTGTGAACCTTTATCCGCTTGGACAAAAATTGTTCTTGTAACGTGTTGGTGATGGCAAGAAAATTTGTCTAAGGTCGCTCGTGCGGTAGGCCCTAAGTGAAGAAAGGTTTGCAGGGTTACGCGTGTGGGAAGTTATCGTGGCGTGAAAAGACAAAGAATTACAGTTCCCTTGGAAGGCCAATTTTTAAAAACGCCGGAGAGTTGAAGACTTGCAATTTGCTGAGGAAAAGAAGAAATCCACTAAACGAATTGGTGACCTAGCCTCTTTTTGTTCGCAAAGTCTGTTTCTTTCGCTGATCTGTGAGCCGTGCATTTCATAGGAGGATGCTGGTGTTTTGGACACCTGTTCAAAAAAGAAATTCTTGAAATTCTTCTGGACGGCTTCCTTCTGCAAACTTCCTTTTGTCTTAGCGCCACGAGAAATTCCCACGCGCATGACCCCATGTAACCTTTCTTCAGCTAGTGTTGCTCGAGGCCTAAAATGTATTCGTGGACAAAGGAAAACTCTTATTAAAGGGCTCCAGCAACTAGGGTTTTCTCTTACGCTAGTCTAAGTTTGGAGCTGTGACTGAACGTCGTTATATTTTGAGAAGCCTGGAAAGGTTTCCGTGATTTTCTCACGCTTACAAGCATATGTTTATTAAATCTATGCAGACGTGACCACGAAACGTATGTTCCAATTGTTTATTGCAATGTGGTAGGTCAAGTTAGTTTTCACATGCTGTGCGACTTCTTATGCCGCTACTAAAACTCATGGCAAATTTAGCACAACAAAAGATAAATAAACAGGTTTACAACGCACCTACCTTTCATGTATAATGGTTCATAATTATTTATAACACGTACGAAAAGTACTTCTACACATTCAGAATAATTGAAATTATATTTACCTATAGTGAAAGGAAAAGAAACGGCCTAACTTTTACGGAATTTTCAGTCAAAATCTGCCGATTTCTGCCGCTTTTTCCGCCATATTGAAATTACGCTACCACAATGCAATGCAATCGGAGTGCGCACACCGCATGGAAACCCACAAAGTTTGACAAATTAGAAGTAAGACAACAGCAAGTCTACATTAAATCTCTAAAATTTTCCAATATTGCATTCCAAAGCCCGGTAAAGTGTTGCGATCCGCTTCAAAGTTGGGCTAATCGAACAATCAAGCCAATTCGAATAATGTCCGAATAATACCAAACAGAGGGTTTTGACGGAAAACAGTGTATTAATACTGCTGAAAAAAAAATCTGAAAGTGGATGTGAAACAGTTATTGATGCTTATCCTCTCCGGCTTGCAATCGAGCCGTTTCCGTTCAAGCTGTTGGCCAAAAACCACAGCACCATTCTGACTTGCAACCGGAGTGTCAGAAAAGAAATTAAAACAATTCTGAACGATTTTTACAAATTGGCTTTATCCTGAATTTTGATTGTTTTTGAACTGCAAATATTAGTTCACTTTCTTTCGCAATGTAATGAACAAAATCACTGTGGGGCTTCTTCTGTCATAAGAAAATTTTCTGAAGCTTGAAAATTGCATGTAAACTGGTGGATCACAGCTGAACATCTTAGGGTTTTGATAATTTTTTTTTTTCATGAGCGCACTTTTGCCGTTTCTCCGGAAATTTGATGAAACGCATCTTTTTGTTTCGATGCAAATATAAAATTTGGAAATGAAACTCATTAAGTAGTTCGAAAGCTACACCGCTACGAGACTAGGTTATGAATAACTTGATTATTTTTCCTTTTCAAGAGAATTCCTCGTAACACTGAACTTTGAATGCGAAGAAACAGCGTGCGCAAACTGTAAACAGGTGATCCAGAAGTTCCTTTATCTTCGTATGCTTTCCTGGCTCATCTGATTTTTTCCCCTAATTAAAGAGATTGTAGGTTAGAGAAATTTCGATTCTCTTCTACTTAAGTTTCCAAATTTTATATGATCATGTCAAATTGAATTGTCCAGAATGTTTGAAGCTAACATACATGTATGTCTTCATTAAACCTATAATTACTCCATTCACCCGCGATCAGCATGTGTATCTTTTTGTTTCGATGCAAATATGAAATTTGGAAATGAAACTTATTAAATAATTCGAAAGCTACACCACTACGAGACGAAGAAAACGGCGTGCGCCAACTGATAAGCAGAAAGTAAACGCACAAATTTTATTTGTAGTTTTCTATACTACCACTTTTTACTGCTTTATTTTCCACGTGCACATTTTACACTCTTTACTTTTTCAGTATTTACAGGACCCCATTTATAACAGTACTATTTTGTACTGATGGGTTTATCCTGTTTAAATATTCTTTTATTATTATTATTATTATTATTATTATTATTATTATTGTAAACAGGTGATCCAGAAGTTCCTTTATCTTCTTATGCTCTCCTGGCTCATCTGCATTTTTTCTTTTTTCTTAATTAGAGATTGTAGATCAAATAATTTGATTCTCTTCTACTTAAGTTTCCAAATTTTAAAAGATCATTTCAAATTGAAGTCTCAAGAATATTTGAATCGAATATACATGTATTTCTTCATTAAGCCTATAATTACTCCATTCATCCGCGATCAGCATGTGTATTTTAAGAGCTGCTCCATGTAGTGTTGTGAAATTATCAATTTCTAGCGTCATCTTCGCATTAAGCGTGTTCCTGTGGAACTGCAAACGACATTCACAACACCATTTAATTCAAATAGCTACATTTTAACTGAAAAAGGAAACATCAAATCTGGAGAGTTTGCTGATATGAACTGGTAATCAGCTTGATAGAAAAATGGAACGATATCAAAGATAAAGTCATTTTGGCATTCAAATGTAAGTAGAATATATGAATAGTCAATGATTATAGCATCGCAGACGCTTGTCCTATCAAATTCATATTGAGCCATCATGGTCGAAATCGCTTTGTACGCTCTCTGGCTGTACGCCATAATTACTAAGCATGGCTGGAAAATGATGAGTAACTTAGTAGCCACGTGCACGTGTGCTGACTTGATAAAGAGAAGTTTTGCTCGGTAAGGATTATTATCGCGGCTGGCTACAAGTGAGGCGACGTTTCGTCTCTTCTTTGGACTGGTAAATATTATTTGAAAACTGTTTATTTGTTTTAAAATTTTTTTTCTGAGACAAAATTGTTCAATACAGGCGTAAGAGGTGCTTGGGGCTGCACCTCGAGCAACTCTTACGCTTAGAGCTATCTTTCCCTCCAGAACTGCCCGCGTGCATCCATTGGGATTGGAGATCTCGCTGAGATCTCCAATCCCATCTCTTAACAGCTAATTTCGAAAGTCGGCCAGTTTAATGATAAAAACGAATACTTATATTAGTTCACCTAAATGGATTTATCGTATGGTAAAAATTTTTTTCAAAATTAGAATGCATTTTACTTCATCGGTTTCCTTTATGATAATTACTTGGCCCTCGATCAGGAAAGGACCTTGAAGTTGATGCGTTTAGTTTATTCTTTGTCAGGAGAAATAGTCCTAGAACATGCCATTTTCTGTAATGTTGATGGAGTTGTGCTGAGAGATAAGCGGTTTTCCCATGATAGCTTTTGAACACCTGGTTATTTTAGTGAAATAATTTATAATTTTGTATAGAAGGAAACTAAGTAACTACGTGTGCTGACTTGGTAAACAGATGCTTTGCACGGTGAGGAACATAATTTTACACGAGAGATGAACAAACTTGAAATTGTTTTTTTTTTGTAAAAATCTAACAGGTTTTGTCCTAAAATAAACGATTTTTAAAAATTGGCTTCATCCGGAATTTTAATTGTTGTTGAATTGTAATTCAACAATTCGCGATGTAATGAACAAAATGACTGCGGGGCTCCGTCGGTTATGAGAAAATGTTTTGAAACTTCAAAATTGCATGTGCGGAAATTTCCAGTTTTTACCCTTTAGGAAACCACCAGTCTTTTCCAGTAGAAGTGTTAAAAGCTAAGAATAAACTTTTTTTAAAATGAAGTTGAATTGTAGAGATCAGTTCGGTATCATTCGCGATGTTATGAACAAACTGACGGTGGGACTCCGTTTGTCATGAGAAAATGTTGTGAACGTTCTATAGTGCATGTACGAAAATTTTCAAATTTTCACCAGCCTTTTTCCGTGGAACTGTCGGAGGTTAAGTGTGAATATTTCTTATTTAGGTAGTTATATTTGAAAGGATATTTTTAGTAAATGACACGGCTGAAAAGTGGTCTGAGCTAATTTGCATCTAAATGTAAGACGTGAACACATCCTTCAATTGTTTAATCAAATGGTCGACGACAAAAGATGGGTGTCTACTTTATACATCTATGAAAACTGGAAAACCCTGGAAACATCCCAAATGTAAAAAAGAAACAGATTTTCTGATCCTCAAGTAAATTGTTACATTCCATACAATGATTCACTTTTATGCCCGTGAATATTTAACAATTCAAATTATTTACCGAAACGGAGGTAGAGTGAAACTATTTTCCCCGACACTGAGCTAAATAATAGAATTAGCATACACAAAACAAAAAACTCCTCTTGTTTATTTCTGTCAAAATACTGAAATAAAGATCGGAACAAGACTTTTGTCGCGCAGTTTATAGACCTTTTGATAACCGGCGAATCGAAATGCCCGGTGCGCGCGAAAATCACTATTCCTATGTGAGACATATACGTACCATTATTACCTCCTCTCCGTCCTTTCGGTAAAATTTCTTTACTAATGTACAATTTTCCTACTTGTTACATAGCAATACTTCCTTCTTTTTAATTCTCTGAACATATTTCTCTTCAGTCACTCCAATGAAAATGTTGTTCAAATATTGTCGACTATCTTTTGCCTCGACGCAATATTGTACCTGCAAGACAAGATCACAGCATTTTTTTCGAGGGAAAGTGTAAACTTTCAGTCGCTGAAAGGCATATAAATCTGAAGGAAGCTTTTAGTGCTCTGCTGGAATCCTTTAGAAATCATTTGGATATAAAAAAGGAATGTCTTTGAATTTGCCATTTGGAAATTATACATAAGATATGTATCTTGGTAGTTCTAAAATTGGCTCACTGAGAGACTGAAGCCAACAGAAGTCGCAACATCCTACTGGGGCTCTTAAGACTGTTTTCAAGTCTCACTCGGTTTTAGGCTCGGATTACACAAAAATATACTCTACTTGAAAAGGCAAAAACGATTTCTCCCTAACGTAGCGTCTGTTAATTTGTTTTAGTGCTACACGCGAAGTAAATAAATTTCCGAATTCGAACTGCTAGTACATATATGTTATTCACCAGCCGAGAGGTCCGCATCAAGAAAAACTGCGCCTGAGCTCTTGGATACGGCCGACAGTGGTACTCAAGACAGAAGGCACAGATTTTCCCAATACGGACCGGACGGGCTGGTGAATAATAGTTTTGTCTTTCTTTAACACTTAACGAAATGCTTGCCCAAAGAACCCGAATGATTTAGGGCTACAATTACCAGTTTTATAAGGAGAAGATCGTCCTCTTTAAGAGCGAATGTTACCAATGGTCAAACATTCGTTGGCAAAAGCCAAAAAATCGATTCGCGACTTATATTCTCAAGTTAGGTAGGCCTTATGGTGAAACAGAGCACTGCATACTTTGTTTGGCTGAATATCGATTTATTTTGGAGAAAGTCGATAATAACCGAATTTCGCCAAAATGCTGCTTTTGAAGCTCAAAATTTCAGACCAATCTCGGAGCGTCGCGCGGCGCCGCGAATTGAAAACACTCCGACTGATAAAAAGTACCAACTCTTGAAAAACAACATCAATACATATGTTGAAAGCAATTTGAGCAATTCTTGATCGTTTATTTACACAATCTAATTGAATTTATCCGACCTACTTTTAACAAGATTAAAAATAGGTCAAAAGTAACCCGTTATTTAGCTATGTGCGAAATAAAATGATCGTCTGAAAATCTGGCTTTTAGAAGGCAAAGTATATTTCTTTTTGATTTCCAAAGGAATTTTTTTGGGAAATGATTCAGGGCGAATTAATCAAATTTTAAAGTTGGATAAAATGAGCGGATTTGACGGTGCCGTCAGTTAGTCGAAAATGTACACATCCACTCGCAAACTTGATTGTTTCGCATTTTACATCCAATCTACAGCTTATTTAACATAATATCATCTTACCGTCCATACTGCTGTATCACAAAAGGGGATTGCAGTCCTGAAATTGTTACATCGCTCCCATAATAGCGATAATACTTAGCGGGATAGTCAAGACCTCCTGATAATGATTGTTTACAAAGCGTATCTTGGGGTTTCTCTATTCCCAATTCGTTGAAGTACTTCACGTAAGAGATCTTTGTTTAAATACAAGTCTACAACCGAATCTTAAACCAAATGTAAGCGAAATATTGCTAGTTCAGAAACATGTTTCTTGTGTGCGGAATAACAATAATTAATTCAAAATGAGGTCTACTGAAACTGAAAACGCAAAAAATATAACATTGGACTGTTAAGCACGTGGCTACAGGAACTAAGGCCGAGTGCTACATATACGAAAGAGGAGCAAACAATTATCTAACTCCGATCATAATTTAATGTATCATAATTGAATGTTTCATGGTACTTCGAAGAGTAAAGTTCATTTTAGGACAAAAAGAGCGAAAGATCTGCACAGGGCATGGTATATCCCTGCAGATGTGCAACAGAGAAAAGTGCAGTGTTTGAATATTTGTTTATTTAAAAGAAGTTTTATAAGGGTCAAACATGGAAAACCACAACTTTCGCTGAAATGTTTGTACTAGCCAACGTTCAACAGCTTTATGTTTTCCCCAGTCTTCCTATATTACTTCTTCCCCAAAGGCTACTGTGCCTTGTTAGTTACTCACGACGGTAGTAACACTACGACCCAAGTAGCACGTTCTCATATTTACATTCATCTTTTCCCAGCAGCCGTCCAAAAAAGCTCATGTCTGGAAATAAGACCATTTCTGCGTATCTCGGAATTCAAGAAGCGCTTCGAGTAATCATTACACCAGCTGATACAGTAGACTCGAGCGCGGGTCAGTATACCCACATCAGTCACATTTGTTAAACAGTGGCTTTAAAAAATCAACTCAGCTAGTTAGTTATTTAGTGTTCTTGCCCGAGAAGTTAGCCAAGTAAGCAGTGATCTGCGGTCGGGTCCAAAGCCATCAATGCATTATTGGGAGATATATTATAGAGTGTAGCTGATGCGTAATAACAAATTTAACATAAGCCTGTTGTCTGGTCAGACCAGAATGTTCACGCCCATTGGGAAAAGACTGACATCTAGATTTAACTAGAAAAAAGAAAGTAAAAAAACCCGTGTTGTGCCTATCTCCTTAATCTTTCCCTCCAAAATGATAAATTTAAGAAGTAAATGACTACTTATTGAAGTCCAAAGCCAATCAATGCATTAAATAGCGATATATTATTGAGCATAGTTTGATATATCACAAGGAACTCTGCGCCTCGAACTAGAACCTCTCGTCCACCCCAAACCAAGCTTTGCACTAAGCGAGGGACAAATTGCCAGTTTCAAGGTAATTTCTTTAATTATTCAAACAATCAATAGTGATTAAAATAGTGAGGAAGAGAAAACAAGTACGATTCAATCTTACAGCGTCTTAAAAAATACTTTGAAGTATTTGATCAACGAACAAAAACATGTGAAAACAAAACGTGGGAAATTTTTATACCATCGCAGTTTCCAGTCTTTTGTCGGGAACCGCGGGTCGTCAAGGAAAAACAATGACAGAAACCAGAAATAAGCGCCATCCTTTAAAATGGTTCCTTTTCTGATTTTGAAAAATCCATACCTCTATTCAAGGCAGCTGTCATCT